AAAATTTAATCTACTTAAAGTTTATAAAGAATAATTTGTTTAATTGTAAAGATATTCTCGATTATATTAAGGTGAAAACTGTTATAGAACGGGGAAAGCGTTGTGTTTTCAACAGTGCGTGTAAAAAGGTCACGACATAAATCATGATGCGGAAAGGATAACAAAAATAAAAATGAGAATAACACTTTCATTCAAGAAGAATCGTGAAAATAATTTAGGTAATTAATATTTTATTTCTGAGATGTTTTCTAGGATATAACCATGTCGTTGTCATCATATTTTTATTTATAAAACATCTATAAAAGAAAATAAATTATATGAATGAATGCGGTGTTATTAACTTGAATTTATTTATAGAGATTTTTAAGGTTGAATTTATTTTTATAAATATTTAAAATATTAAAATACAGCCAAAAGGCATGAACTGAATATATTAACAATGACTGAAGAATATCAAGTTTTCATGTAATTTTATTTCTTAAATTAGCAATGTTTACATTAATTAAAATGAAATAAGTTAGCAATGTTTTTCAGAATTCAAAATTGTAATTAAATTAGAAATTTCTATTAAAATGTATTTTTACTTTATTATACTTCTAAACATATATATATATAAATGGATAGATATAGCAATAGTGTAGCCAGGGAATGAACGATGAGCACCCCCCTTAAATACTCAAAACTTCATAGAAAAATAACCCTATTATAAAAAAGAAAATTAATTATTTTCTTTATATCAATATTTTACTGGAGGCTCAAATATATAAGTAAATGTGCTGGTGTATTTAAAAAAATGATAAATAAATAAACTATATATCATTTATTATAACATACAAAACTTTCTAATATAATATAATACTCTTTTCTCTGTTTTCCTCCTCTTTGTATGAACATATAAAGAGGAGGAAAACAAAGAAAAGAGTATTATACTAAAACCAATTGAAATAATTTATTATTATTATTATAAATATATAATATATTCATTTTTTAATGATAATTTTTGATACATGAACCGAAAACTTTCAATGATTTTTAACATAGCCTACTAATTTCCATTGGTATAACTTTCTGACATATTTTTCCATGAAAATGTCAGTAACCTGATCCCTCTCACTAACGTTAAATCATTTTAAACTCTGTTAATTAATAACAATGAACACATACTTATAATTCACTTTAATTTCTTGGTAATTCGTCCCATTTATCTATTACTATATTATTATTCTATACTCGAGAATGAATTGGAAATTTTCGAATAATCTAATTAAAATTTACAAGAGATATGAATTGGTATATGATAATTAAATAATTAAGTAAAGAATGTTTTTGATTTCATCCATTAAATAACAATTTTACATCGATTTTCTGCTCGATTCTATTAAATGTAATTTGTAACGTGTAGTGAATAAGAATTTTTCACTTAAATCGTGTAATTCAGATTGAATAAATAATTATTTTAATAAGATTTTTTTTTAATTTTTAAGTGAATTTTCTCTTTAAATAAATAATTTACAGGATATTATTAGATTTCAGGTATTAAAGGTCATCTCTGTTTAAACAGGTTCAGTGAAATTTGTGTTGAATAAACAATTAAAAGTGATTACTACTAAAAATTAATTAGAAATTAATCTCATATGAACTTAACTTTGCACGAGAATTTAATTAGGTTAGTAGAATTTAAAGTCGAACAGGTTATAGGTCATAACCCCTGAAAAATTTTGAAGAATTTTAATAAATTTAAATTCATTTTTCTTTACTAAAATCCTAAAATTAAATTAATTTATACAACACTGTACTGAGGTTATGCGGTGTTACTCTTATTAGATTACTGATTATTACTAGAAGAATTTCGATTTATGTTTAAAAATAATGAATTAATAATAAATTTAAAAGTTTAATTGTGCATAAGATTTATTTATTTTCTTTAATTAAATTCTATAATAGCATAAAACTATTGTAATATTGATAATGAAAATTTTAGACTTAAAATAGTCATTGATTTCTTCACCATTCTAATGTTTTACCGTATTTAAAAATAAGTAGCTAATTTATAAAAGGTTAGAAAATAATCATTTATATATAAATAACATTGATATTTTATTAAATTTTTAGTCTTTTGAACAGATTATCTTTAATGAATATGGGTAGAGTAATAACTGCCTTTCTTTACTGAAAATGTTCCAATTTAATGGGATAAATCATGATTAAAACGTAAATATATTAAAATTTTATCAATTTTTATGATTTTTTAAGTCATTAGTCAACCTTCTTTAACGGACATAATAAAAAATGGGATGAACTCCTGCATGAAATTAAGTACTATGTCTACTTAACCCATTCAATGTATCATGTTCTGAGTACAGTTTCTATTCAAAATTCTTGCGAAAATGGCTATTTCGTATACATATTACAGGTAAAATAGTTGTAAATTAGATATATGTAAAAAGTAATTCAAATATTTGTCCCAAATAAATTGACTTATGAGATTATCGATTCATACATTCAATTGAATACGAGGAAAAATTGATCAAAGGAGTGTTTTCAAGCTATGTCATTAACATATATTTTAAATTTTCCGCGTGTTTTTATTTTAAAAAAATACTTATATTTGATGAGTTCAAGGATTTTCATTCTTAATTTGCTTTACTCTAACGCTAAAAGAAAAAAAAACACGCCGAATTTGTTGAATATTGATTAAAATTGTATATTTGTAATAAATCAAAATGTATTATTTTATAATAAAAGTTAAATAATTTAATAAATCACTATAATGTACTAAAACACAACCATCTGAAATATTATTTACGAATTGGATTACTGATTTATATTATTATTCATGTGTTTTTGAAACTGGGTAAGGGATCTTGGGGTTGAGCCACCTTTGTCATCATCGCTATGTATTTTTACACGTGTCGTATTACTGATTAAATGCTGTATTTGATTATGTTTATCGGGATTCGGAGTGGGAAAGATAGTGAAGATAGTTCTCCCCTCCTAAAACATCATTAAAATACATTGTCATTGAACTGAGTATGTCCTGAAAGCCTCATCTTAATAAGAAGTGGATGTAATTTGACACATGATACATGAAAGTTAAATGAAAGCATTTACAGGGAAAAAAACTGAGATTTTTGAGTATGATGTAGGGAAATTAGAGTTTATGAGTTTAAAAAATAACTTTAGAAATCAATAACGAAATCTGTATGTAAAATAATATCCTAGAATACGATAATCGGTTTTGTTGAAACTTTTGACGAACTTGCAACATGGTATCGTTCTCTATTCTCCCCCATTAATCGACTCCATTGGCGATTTACTTTAGCGGGAGAAATTTCATCCAGCTATATAATGTTTAGCCTAATAACTCTTGCATCGAAATTGTAATAATTAATTAATCAATACATATGAATCGCTAAATCGTAAACCGAGGGATCTTGAATCATCTAACTTGATGACTCGATGAATGATATATAGTCTTCCGTTAATTTTAAAAGAACTTGTAACCCAGAAAGCATCTACTTTAAATCGAAGAGGAACATAACTGTCCGAAATTAATTAATATTTAATAAAATAGAACAGCCAAAAAAAAGGGTCGCTTGGTGTTCAAGTGAAAACATTTCCCAAAGGGTGTGATAAGAAGTCCTCACACTAGAAGCCGATCTAGAAGGTTAATACTCTTGTGATCAAAAAACATCGGGAATTGTTCAATAAAACCCAAGATTTGAATTTATTCATCAAAATTTATTTCGTTTCCTTTAAAGTAATCCCCACTTATTGCAATGCACTTATGCCAATGTTTACTCCACTCCTCGAAGTATGCTTTAATGTGGTTTTCGTGAAATCCCTTCAGGACTCGCAGTAAATTTTGTTTTAGGGCATCAATCGTCTCAAAACGGTGACCAAGAAGCGGAAATTTTAGACGAGAAAACAGGATAATTTCAGACGCTTCAATATCGGATAAATACGGAGCTTGATTAAACGTATTTGTTGAATTTTTGACCAAAAATTCACGAACAGCAAGAGCATTGTGAGCAGGTTCATTATCGTGGTAAAGAGCAACGAGTTTTCTCGCCACAGATTGTGTCGTTTTCTACCAATTGCTTTACGAAGCGACTCAAAACGCTCAAATAATAGTTTTTGTCGACAGTTTGGCCATTCGGGAAGAACTTATGATGCATAACACCACGATAATCGAAGAAAACAATCAACAAAACCTTGATTTTTGACTGACTTTGACGTGGTGTTTTCGATATTGTTTCACCTTTTGAGTGCCCTTCACTCAATTTTTGAACCGTTCGGTGTCAAAAGTGCAGATCCATGTTTCATCCTTGGTAATGATACATTTTAAGAATGATTCTCCCGGAGAAAGCATTTCCTCAGACACTCGAACATATCGTTGTTTGTGGAAAATATTCAAGGTTTTGTGGCGTAAACGCTTTAAAATTGTTTGACAAGATCCAAATGGTATTAGAATATGTTCAATAATGTCCCTAATTGTTAAACGACGATCATTGAGCACCAAATATCTGACTCGAGAGAGTGTTGTTCATCGATTGAAGTGGATGGTCTACCAGAGCATGGTTAGTCTTCGATACGTTCTCTGCCCTCCTCGAACATTTCATACTACACGAAAACTCTTGTTTTTGACAGACTATCGTCACCAAAGACTTTTTGCAACATTTCAAACGTTTTTGACCAGTAAATTCGTTTTAAAAAATTTCATGCCCCCCCTTTTTTACTAGATTACACTCGACATTTTGAAAAATCCTCGGTGCAAAAATTCTTTACACGCAAAACAAGTGTTTATTTGGAAACGAAAACACAAATAAAATCCAAGAGACTAATATTGGTAAGGTATTTATTCTTTACTTAAAAATAATTAACTATCCTGAAGTTTCGAAATGTATCCATTTTATCTCGGTAGAATTTACCATTCGTAAAATTTGAAATTATCGAAAATATAAAAAAATAATAATTTTATTATGTAATATTTTGCCATTATTACAAATTGGAAATTTAAAAGTTCACCCAGCTTAACAATTGGTTCATTATGGAAATAATTGAAATCCAAAATTTGTTACGTTTCTATTTGTGAGCTACAGTATTATTGGATTGTGTGAATTCAATCGGATGGAGTCTAGAGACGTTAAAGAAAACGACAAACCATCTTCGAAAATTGGCAATTACTGTATTCAATGCGCCAATACAAACGGAATGAAGGGCAGCAATAGTGTTCCCATAACTCCTAAATGCCGAATCTGTTTGGCCGATGAGGGTAATTTAATCTCTCCTTGCCTCTGCAAAGGTAAAATGTAGCAAATTAACAACTATTTAAATATAACAAATTATAGCAATTTTAATCTCTAATTAATTTACCAGGATCCGTAGGTCTCGTACATAAAAATTGCTTAGAAACATGGTTAGAAAATCGAAATGTAGATTCTTGCGAGTTGTGCCAAACACCGTTTCACGTTATCCGCATTCCGAAAGTAATGCAGCTTTCTACGAAAATTCCATTTATTAAATCTACTTTATGCAAACTTAATAACTTATAATATCTTTCTTCAGAAATTTAGAGAATGGTGGCAAAGTAATGATTCTTTAACGGACAGAAAAATTTTAAGAAGAGATTTAATCGTTATATGTGCATTAACGCCCATGGCTATCCTGAGTATAGTTATGTGCTTAGAAAAGATCGTTTATTATAGTAAACACGGACATGTCAAGGAAATGGTGGCGATGACAATCTTTTCTTTATTTTTAATAATTTCTTTTCTTTATCAGCTATTTGCTACACTTAGGTAAGACTAATAGACTAATAGATCTACACAGGATACGCTGTGTACAATTTGAGTTATTTGTCAACCATGGTTTAAATTTTAAAGAACTGTTCTTTCTTTCTAGAATAATGTAATTTTTAATGTTTGTCTGTCATCTCTGGAAAGAATAACGATTACGCTATATTTTAAAACGTAAATTTAGGCTACTCATTTTAAAACAAAATAGTGATCGACTAAAGAGCTGCAATGCCCACCATTGACCGAGGGGGTGAAACTACTGAACGCCGGTAGTTGGGCGTGGGTTCGCACCTGGCCAACGAGCTCGATGGGGTGGAATTTTCCGGGTTTTCTTTACGTATGTAACATCCAAATAGGTACCAGCTTCCCATAAAAATCCTCCCGGCAGATCGACCATGAGTCGAGTTGCCATAACCAAACTATGAAAAGTGACAATGCATCTCTTTAGATGCATTGTCACTTTTCATAGTTTAGAAAATTCTGCCGAATTGTCAATGTTATGTGAATAATAATTTATATTTATTTCTACAATGAAATATAAGCAAATATACGAGTAGATTTTTGAAATGTCCTCACATAATTTCTATATATAAAATTTTATTTAGCGATGACGTTAGAATTTAATATTTATTTCTTATCGATTTATCAATGCATATTTCCTAGTCTATAAACTTACCATTTTATATTAAAATCCAAAATGGCGACATTTTGAAGAATTCTTTTTGACCTTGTTCTTTTTAACTCTCCTCTCCATGAGTTTTTACGGGGCCTTTTTTTTAGTAAGCTGGGCCCACAATGGAGAAGCCGGGTAATGAGGACCGTCCCTAAAAAATTCTTGAGGTCTTTTGATCCGTCCAGATCGATCCCGGATCTCCCAGAGTCTTATCGCTCTGGGAGATCACCTTTAGTCAGTGGCGCGTTATCCTATGGGCAAAAAGGGCAAAAACCAATTTTTTATAAGTACGTATTTCCTTCAGAAAATTTCCTCGAAGAAAAATGTCTGTGCATGTCACACTGTACACGCATGTAATAACACAGGGGGCCACATGTACAGTTCTTTACATGTACATGTGACCCCCTAATTCAGATTTGCCTGGGCCCTAAGAAGCAATAACGCGCCATTGCCTTTATTTGCTCGGCTATCCGCCCGTCAGATAAATAAGTTCGATTCAATTTTATATATTTTAAGTTGATATATTGAAGCCATTTTATATATTTTAATAAAAATTACATAAACAGGAAGTAATTTTTGTACGATTTATACTACAGGAGTCATTATCTTTCCTACAAAACATGGAGAAATAATCATAGCAACGTCCAACTTTTAACAGAAAATGTTTACGATAAATTTTACGAAATTATCAATATGTCAGCATCACCCGTTTCTTCTTAATTCTGGAAAAAGAAAATGCGAAAATCCAAATTTTATGAATGGCAAATTCAATCAAGATAAAACATACTTATCGAAAACTTCACAATAATTATTTTTATACGAAGAATAAATAAACATTACCAATACTAGTCTCTCTTGGATTTATTTAAATTTACTACTATTTTTTATAATAGTCATACGTGTTGAAAACAATAGTTTTAAATTTTTTCAAGAATTAATATCTCATTTATTTTTCCTTATCAAAACAAAGTAACCAATTGTATTATTATTGATTTTAGTTTCTTCCGAAATTTTAATGATTTCGAGATGTTCAGTTTACGTTTTACTATTTGTACACNTTTATTTAAATTTACTACTATTTTTTATAATAGTCATACGTGTTGAAAACAATAGTTTTAAATTTTTTCAAGAATTAATATCATATTTATTTTTCCTTATCAAAACAATTGTATTATTATTGATTTTAGTTTCTTCCGAAATTTTAATGATTTCGAGATGTTCAGTTTACGTTTTACTATTTGTACACAGGTATCTGTGTACAAATAGTATCTGTGTACAAATCTATCTAGGAATTTACTTTTCATTCACAGCATTAGCAGCCACATCTACAGTGGTACATTTACGTTTGCACGTTCTAATTCGGGTCTCCCTTTAATATCGATTCTAAGTCAAAAATCTTCAAATATCTTACTCATCTCTCCTTTTTAATTCTGTCTTGTAAGCACTAAGATGACCTTTTATAGGTCCATCATTGATTTAGCCAGGCTTACAATTTTTTGGCCGGGTGACGAAAGAACGGTATTCAGGTCATGAAAAATTCCCGAAAAAATGACGCCTGGATTCGATCTCGGATTCCTCAGAACCATTGGCTAATGCATTAGTCGCGTCGAAGATCGTCTGAAAAGAACAATGTGTTCAAAATAAAATAGATTTGTTTAAGAGAACAAACTATTAAAAGAATTCCGTTAGGACAAACAGTTCGTGCTCTTAAGTGCTGTTATTAAGTTCCACTTTAATAATACGATGCGTGTTATAAATATTTGTAGAACGGCTTTACAATAAATGTTACTTAAAAATTCAAATTTGAAATTTTCATATTTTTCCTTTTATTTCAAATAAACCATTTCGAAAATACTTCTTAATTGATTTCTATTATTATATTATAAATTACGTAACATAGATAGAACAAGAAAACTCTTTACTTTTTAATTTGCAGCAACTTACCTGTTTATTTACTGTACTTATAAACAATAACCTCATATGAAATAATCAAGTTGTATATGCATGTGTTAAGAGCCAGATAAGTAAGTATACATTATGAAAAGTAATTAAGTGTTTATTCATACTTACATGCAAGAAAGTGTGCGATATTATACATTATGTATAATACTTGTATAATCAGTAATGCAGGTTTTTCGTAAAGGTTCGTGATAAAAATTTATTTATTTCAATTTAAATAGCTATAAATACTTGAAATTGTCGATTAAATCTTGGAAGCGAGAGAGAAATAATGGCGGCACTTTCGGTTTGCTGGAGTGTGATGTTAAACTCGTATGATTGGTAGAACTTAGATCACGTGTCGTAGATGAATAACTAATTCTGATATGTATAAATATAATATGATAAATATAAATATAAATATGTATAATATATAAATATGTGACATTTTTCGATGCTTATTCCTTTGTTTCCTTTGCTTTGTATATATATTGTACATTATTTTACTATACTATATATTAATACACTGTATTGTATTGTATTGTGTTAACAAAAACATATATTTATTATAAAATTTATTAAACAATTATATTCAGATTAGGTGTAATCTCGATTTATGAGCGTTTCTCGTTCCCGAAAACCTCTCGTATATCTGGATAAAGTTTTCCATTATTTCTTAAGATCAAAGTTTGTACCTTATTCTCCTATTCTTAAATATAGATATCATATACTTTATGTCGTAGTCATCTCACTGTATATATATGTATACATAAATATATATATTATCAATAGTTTTTCTAATGCGGCTCTCGTAGCTAATTTTTTTTTATGACCTGCAGAGAAAATGTTTTACCATCTCGCGATATATTTCATAATAAACGAGTAAAAGATTTGAATAGCCTGTTCATAAAACCATCTGTTATCATATTTATGTAAAAAAATTTTTTATATTTTTAACTATTATAAAATGGAAAAAAAGCTTAATTTTGAAAACAGCGATGAGTTTTATAAAAAAAAAAAAAATATTGTAAATGCTAATAACGAGTAAAATCGTCACGAAGTCCGACCTTACCCGAGATACACACGATCCCCATTATCTCCCCACCCCTTCGACCTTTAACCACCAAAATTTAGTAGCATCGATCCCCCTAATAAACAAACCTCCCTGCAAAATTTCAGAAATTTTTAACAAAAAGTACAAGAGTTATTAAGCTTCAAAGAGAATGAACAAAATCGTGTCCCCCCACACACATACTAACATCCTTGATACAGGGAAAAAAATCGAAATTTTTGCATTTCTCAACGTTTCAAGATGTCCTAAGTCCAAAAATATAAAAATCTTGGGGGGGGTCATTTTTTGATCGATCGACATACTTTCCCTCTGTTATATATAACAGCCAGGAAAGTAATTAAACAACATAAGTTGCATATATTTATAAGTTGTCTGTTATATAAACTTCCATATTATAATTAAATACTGTACAATATAATTTGACTAATAGAATGAAGCTTATCACCCTTGTAAACACTTGATGAATGTGTTTTATACTCGATAGTAATACGCTACTCGGGGATTTTTCAAGTCGAATTCTTCAATCTCTCCGGCTTACCAGGTAGGTGGTCTATTGCAGAAGGGAACGAAATTTATTCAACAAAAGTTAGTCTTTGGTTCGATGGAATACGGCAACCAACACGTGAACGATCTGCCAAGAAGAGACTTTCCTGGTGGATAACAGTTACTTGGTTGTGGGTTTGCACCTCACCAACCGGCTAATCACGTGAGGTTTTCCTAACATAAAAATAATTTATACAGTTTTGTACTGATATTCGATCCGTCCGACGTTGCTAGTAATAAATTATGTTTAGTATTGATTTTCACAAGCTTAGCTTAGATTAGATTAATATATTAATTACAAAAGAATGTCCTTTAAAAAATGAATAAATGGGGAAAATATATTACAAAATATAATTAAAACAATGTGCGTTGAAGATATTTTTTTTTATATTTGTAATTTAAAATTAATATTTAACTACGAATCATTATATTGATGTTTTCTTTGCTTAACTTTAGTAAAAAGAAAATCATATCTTTAATTATTAATTTAAATTATGTGTAAATATAAATATCCTTGTGAGACTTAGGAGCTAAATTTATGGGATTTAAAAAAAAAAGTTATAGTATTGATATTTTCTCTTTTTTTTCCAGGTTCCGAAAACATTTCTTGGAGAGTATTTTGAAAGTTTAATTAGTTTACTGCTGTTTTAGAATGACCAGCATATTTGATTAACACAGTTTTATCTGCAATTAAAGTATCAGGAGTAATTACATTTAAAAAATGTTCTTGCTACCAGATCAATTCCAACAGTAACAAAAATTCTTTCTGGGTTGTATAATATTTATTCCACTATATTTGAATTATTCCTTTGGATTTCGACCATTCAGAATCTTCTATAAGCTATAGAATAACCTCTATTTTGTAATAAATGGATGGATGTTTTCTACCAAAATAAAAATNTTTTTCGTAAAGGTTCTCAATTTAAATAGCTATAAATACTTGAAATTGTCGGTTAAATCTTGGAAGCGAGAGAGAAATAATGGCGGCACTTTCGGTTTGCTGGAATGAGATGTTAAACTCGTATGATTGGTAGAACTTAGATCACGTGTCGTAGATGAATAACTAATTCTGATTAGCTATGTGACATTTTTCGATACTTAGTCCTTTGTATATATATATATCCTTAATAGTATATATAATATACTATTAATACATTATTTTTACTATACTATATATTAATACACTGTATTGTATTGTATTGTGTCAACAAAAACATATATTTATTATAAAATTTATTAAACAATTATATTCAGATTAGGTGTAATCTCGATTTATGAGCGTTTCTCGTTCCCGAAAACCTCTCATATATCTGGATAAAGTTTTCCATTATTTCTTATGATCAAAGTTTGTACCTTATTCTCCTATTCTTAAATATAGATATCATATACTTTATGTTATGGTCATCTCACTGTGATAATATATATATATATGTATACATAAATATATATATTATCAATAGTTTTTCTAATGCGGCTCTCGTAGCTAAGTTTTTTTTTTATGACCTGCAGAGAAAATGTTTTACCATCTCGCGATATATTTCATAATAAACGAGTAAAAGATTTGAATAGCCTGTTCATAAAACCATCTGTTATCATATTTATGTAAAAAAATTTTTTATATTTTTAACTATTATAAAATGGAAAAAAAGCTTAATTTTGAAAACAGCGATGAGTTTTATAAAAAAAAAAAAAATATTGTAAATGCTAATAACGAGTAAAATCGTCACGAAGTCCGACCTTACCCGAGATACACACGATCCCCATTATCTCCCCACCCCTTCGACCTTTAACCACCAAAATTTAGTAGCATCGATCCCCCTAATAAACAAACCTCCCTGCAAAATTTCAGAAATTTTTAACAAAAAGTACAAGAGTTATTAAGCTTCAAAGAGAATGAACAAAATCGTGTCCCCCCACACACATACTAACATCCTTGATACAGGGAAAAAAATCGAAATTTTTGCATTTCTCAACGTTTCAAGATGTCCTAAGTCCAAAAATATAAAAATCTTGGGGGGGGTCATTTTTTGATCGATCGACATACTTTCCCTCTGTTATATATAACAGCCAGGAAAGTAATTAAACAACATAAGTTGCATATATTTATAAGTTGTCTGTTATATAAACTTCCATATTATAATTAAATACTGTACAATATAATTTGACTAATAGAATGAAGCTTATCACCCTTGTAAACACTTGATGAATATGTTTTATACTCGATAGTAATACGCTACTCGGGGATTTTTCAAGTCGAATTCTTCAATCTCTCCGGCTTACCAGGTAGGTGGTCTATTGCAGAAGGGAACGAAATTTATTCAACAAAAGTTAGTCTTTGGTTCGATGGAATACGGCAATCAACACGTGAACGATCTGCCAAGAAGAGACTTTCCTGGTGGATAACAGTTACTTGGTTGTGGGTTTGCACCTCACCAACCGGCTAATCACGTGAGGTTTTCCTAACATAAAAATAATTTATACAGTTTTGTACTGATATTCGATCCGTCCGACGTTGCTAGTAATAAATTATGTTTAGTATTGATTTTCACAAGCTTAGCTTAGATTAGATTAATATATTAATTACAAAAGAATGTCCTTTAAAAAATGAATAAATGGGGAAAATATATTACAAAATATAATTAAAACAATGTGCGTTGAAGATATTTTTTTTTATATTTGTAATTTAAAATTAATATTTAACTACGAATCATTATATTGATGTTTTCTTTGCTTAACTTTAGTAAAAAGAAAATCATATCTTTAATTATTAATTTAAATTATGTGTAAATATAAATATCCTTGTGAGACTTAGGAGCTAAATTTATGGGATTTAAAAAAAAAAGTTATAGTATTGATATTTTCTCTTTTTTTTCCAGGTTCCGAAAACATTTCTTGGAGAGTATTTTGAAAGTTTAATTAGTTTACTGCTGTTTTAGAATGACCAGCATATTTGATTAACACAGTTTTATCTGCAATTAAAGTATCAGGAGTAATTACATTTAAAAAATGTTCTTGCTACCAGATCAATTCCAACAGTAACAAAAATTCTTTCTGGGTTGTATAATATTTATTCCACTATATTTGAATTATTCCTTTGGATTTCGACCATTCAGAATCTTCTATAAGCTATAGAATAACCTCTATTTTGTAATAAATAGATGAATGTTTTCTACCAAAATAAAAATATCATAAAATATATTATTTTCTTATGTACTATATTTTTTTTCTACAATGTTTATTTATAATGCTAAAATATGCTGAAATTCCTATTCATTTTAACAGTGGTGGTTATATAGGAGAAGAGAAACTAATAAATATAATTCACCCCCTCTTTGTATTTATAACAGTCTATATTATTTCTATTTTATCCAACACATTTTTTCATAAACTATTAGTTATAGAATTATCTGGAAATAATTTCACATTCACAGAAATTACTATATGAACAGTTAAATATTCCTGATAATATGTGCGAGAAACAAATTTCTATGTAGGCCTACTACCTTCCTTGCCTATAATGTAGTTTATTTAGTTATTTCCAAGAGATAATTTCATTTAAATGGAGAATTATCCATAATTAGAAACAATTTCAATAATGTTAAATGTGTTTTACATAGTGTAATAATAAAGCATACCGAATTATGGGATTATTTCAGAAACATTAATGAATCTTGCAAATATGTAATGTTCTTTATTTATGGTTTTTTTTCAAGCATTTAACATGTTTCTATATCTATGCTGCAATCTATAACGACATGAATTTCCAAGTCAAATGTCAAATTTTTACGGCACATATAATCTGAAGCACTTGCATCAATTAATAAAATAGCTAAGCACATTTTTGCATTGCTTTCGGTACAGCCCCAAATTTACTATTACATTATTAAGCTTGTAATATATGTAAACTTCATAACATTTTTTTTAATATAATAATTATATGTTACCATTTCAATTTCATTAACAGTTTCTAAATTTCATGAAAAGATTTGGCAAAACACCTACAGGAATTAATTTTGGTGAATTTCTCTATGTAAAGAAGACTTTCCTGATTAGAGTTAAGATTTTTCAATTGTTAAAATTATTTAAAATCCATAATTTTAAATATAATTTATATATAAAATTAATTTAAATTAGTAGACAGTCACAATATAAAATTGTTTATTTTAACCAACACATTACATCAAAATACTATATTCCATTCCCAACAATGATATACTGAAAAATTAATATCTAAAAACAATATTGTATAATAACAATCTCATACATNTACCTTCCTTGCCTATAATGTAGTTTATTTAGTTATTTCCAAGAGATAATTTCATTTAAATGGAGAATTATCCATAATTAGAAACAATTTCAATAATGTTAAATGTGTTTTACATAGTGTAATAATAAAGCATACCGAATTATGGGATTATTTCAGAAACATTAATGAATCTTGCAAATATGTAATGTTCTTTATTTATGGTTTTTTTTCAAGCATTTAACATGTTTCTATATCTATGCTGCAATCTATAACGACATGAATTTCCAAGTCAAATGTCAAATTTTTACGGCACATATAATCTGAAGCACTTGCATCAATTAATAAAATAGCTAAGCACATTTTTGCATTGCTTTCGGTACAGCCCCAAATTTACTATTACATTATTAAGCTTGTAATATATGTAAACTTCATAACATTTTTTTTTAATATAATAATTATATGTTACCATTTCAATTTCATTAACAGTTTCTAAATTTCATGAAAAGATTTGGCAAAACACCTACAGGAATTAATTTTGGTGAATTTCTCTATGTAAAGAAGACTTTCCTGATTAGAGTTAAGATTTTTCAATTGTTAAAATTATTTAAAATCCATAATTTTAAATATAATTTATATATAAAATTAATTTAAATTAGTAGACAGTCACAATATAAAATTGTTTATTTTAACCAACACATTACATCAAAATACTATATTCCATTCCCAACAATGATATACTGAAAAATTAATATCTAAAAACAATATTGTATAATAACAATCTCATACATAAAACATATATATTTACTTATATTTTTGTTCAATTGAAAAAATTTTGTATGTAAATAAAATTCAACTATGCTAATAAAAATCATAATAGTTCAAATAAAAATAACAACTTTATTCTATTACATATATATATATATTTCTAAATACTTAAAAGACATATAAATACTAAAAAATATTTAAATGTATTGTCCATATTCTATACTTTTATACAGAACACATTTAGACCAAAACTTCTATTTCTAAAATAATGTATTTGGAATTTATTCGTATTTTTATAATCCATTTGATTTAAAACTTTGATTCATTTTCAATAAATTATTAATACTATTTAAAAAATGAGTATTACAATAAAAATATTCTACAACTTACACACATTACAAAACCTTTGTAACAACTTTTAAAAATTATAAGTATTTTATTTGAACTAGTTAAAAAGTTCACATTACTTTTAAGTACATATGAATATTTGTATTAAAAATACATTTAATATTAATGATTCTAGGAATCTCTTATATTGAAAGAATATAAAATTTTATTAGTTTCTAATATACAAAATGAACACTTTCAATATATTTTTTTTCTAATATTTTTAAAGAATATACTTCTTAAAATTCTTATTTAGTATATTAATATAGTAATCAACAATTTTAAACTATTAAAAATAGATACTATAATGCTTTAAAATTCTTTAATATTTGAAATTTGATATTATATATACCTAACAAAAACATATATGAGCCATTATTTTGAAAGTGGCTTATGTCCATTTTCCAAAAATCTTAAGTCAGTTGTTATAATGTTTACAATTCTACATTATTTTTCATTTTAAACAATTTTCAGCTTATTATGTTCGAAATTCGTTAAGATTTTGGAAACAGAAAATTAACTGGTTAAAACTATTCGCTAAAGTACAGTAAATGCAATTTTCATTTTATTGTACAGTATTTACTTATTTCACTTATTGTTTTCATGTTTTAATTTATTATTAAGGCATTTAATTGTGTTATTTTTACCTTATATTATTTGTATTTACTATTTAAATTTATTGAAATGGATATTGTTTAGGGCCTGCAAACAGATTACTTCACTTTCCATTATTTCTAACGGGAAAAATTGAGTCAGATTTTGAACAATTCAGACTTAACAGCCTACTGAAACAAATTAAAGTACAAGGCATCACTTTATAGTAAATTCCTGTTTTTATGGACTACCAGTTTTATGCATGATACAGTATTTGTTTGGCCCCTTCTTATTTTACACACTTCATTAAAGTACATATTTTACTTTATTACTATGTTATTTTATATATTTACATACTTTTTACATGTATTAATACAATATATATTGCAAATTATTTTCTAATTATGAAACAACTGATCTTTAATTTCTATACTATGTGTTATTTAATTTGTTCATTTTTATAAAGTTCACAAAATCAAAGTTCTATTGCAATTTCAAATATATTAAATGTCTAATTACATCTCCTTTCAATGTCAGATAAAATATTATATACTTTACCTTATTTTCATCATAAAATTAAAACTTTAAATAGAAACTGTATAATTTTAGATAAATTTATCAAATTAAAAAAATGCAAGAAAATAATTAATCAATTCCAATCACTCCAAAAACGTTCCTTCATTCTTTTGCAATATTCTTTAATATTTTTCATATCCTCTAGAAAAAATAAGCAAACAAATTATTAAATATCAGTTTTCTTTTTAAATGCTTTATAAATAAAGCAAACAAAATAAAAAGATCTATTTTACTCGAGTTTATATATAAGCTTTCATTAAATAATATATATGAGTAAAATAATAAAATATTAAATAAAAATAAACAGAAGAAAGTGAACTTTGAGCAAAACTAAAAATAAAACCTTATTAATACATGACAATATATATTTTTAAATGAAAATATAAAGCATTGTTTATTAGTCATGTTATTAACATTACTATTACATTAGCATTGCATAAAATTATATTGATGTCTTTCATTAAATATCAAAAATGAAAAAAAAAAATCACTTAATATTTTCAGATATAACAGTTCAGAATTATATGTATAATTTCATATAGAACTCACAAGAAATCTTATTTCTGCTATAAACTTTTTAATATATATCTGAAAAATTTACTGATTTTCTCATTAGGCTTTTTGCAATTTAGACTTATATTAATTAATAAAAAACTTGCTAACTTATATGCTTTCAGTTATAATTTTATTTCAGTAAATGAGTGATCTCAAATAATTTTATTTATAATATAGCATTTTGTTCCTACAATATTCAAGACAACTATATATACTAGACTCTTGCTAATCATCCATTCCTTGCAAAGGGGTGCCTGATTACTAAGTGTCTGTAAACCTAAAGACAATAAACAACATGAACTGTTGTCCTTTGATACTAATTCAATTTGGAAGCATGCAAATAATATAGTGTGTTAATATAAATACCATACACAGAAATGAAACTGAGTAAACAGGAAAACAAGATGTGTGACAGGACTAATATTTTTACAAAAATAGAAATGCATAGGCAATCATACAGGGGGTATGCTAGATAATTGGGAGGCTGGATTATTAAGAGTCAAATTAGTTAGAGTAAACTGTATATCCATAAATTTTTAGAGATGATAAAACAGAAGCTAACAAAATATACAAAATATATTTATTTGCCAAAATTAGTACAATTGTAAAAACAATAATTTTTCTTATAGAAAATGATACACAAACAATATGAAACCTTTTTAAATGGTAGCCAAATAAAACATTTCTAAAGTATATGCTAGTTAAATTCTTTCAACTTTCATAATTTACAAGATTTTTTTATAAATATTAAAATGATGTATAATGAAAACATTATCAAATAAAGTTTTATATTATTTATAGTAATATTTATACATACTCATACATATAATAGGTTTAATTAACATATCAAAAAATAAAATACAAATTTAAGATATTCCATTTATTACAAGTATTTTACAAAAGTCTATGTGCTGGATTCCATGTTTTACAGGCTGGATTTAACCCATAAGCTGTAGGTTGCCCACCTCTGCTCTAATGTTAACAAATACAGTAGACCTGCAGTAATCCGGCACCCCTATAATCCGACATGTCTATATGCAGCTAGGTATGCAATGGGCTGAAGAGAATAGTGCATCATACAACAAACTTTTACTTCTAAGGAGACTGAGAGACAAGGCCTTACTCTTGTGCTTAGCCAATGTAAAACAAAAGAAAATTTATGAATATTTGCATGCACCATAAATTTATTTGTTTATCCATTTTCAAATTAAGATCATACATAGTATGTACTGTACCTTGGAAATACTTACATATGTTGTATATAATTGATTGACATCAATATGTTTAGTTATTATTTTTTTGCAAATGCTATAGCGTTAATGACGTTAATTTTATAATAAACTCTATGCTATCTATTGTATTGTTTAATTCACTAAGTCTGATATCGTATATTATGTAGTACATATAGATTTGATCTTACTGTTTTTATAAGTATGTAATTTGTTAGATTACAATATAATCCTTTTCAAAAAAGTTCTGGACTACAAGGGGTCGGTGGCAGTACTCTATATTCCAACAAATTTGATCATCCGACACCGCCTTGCAAAACATTTGTCGGATTACCGCAGGTCTACTATAATTTAATTTTACTGAACATTTAAATGTTTCATATTACTTGAATTTTGTGTCCAGTTGCATGTGTGTTTCATTCAAAACATTAGACATTAAACAAATCAATTTTAAAACAAAATAAGTATCATTTATATAAATTTTAATATATTTACTTAATAAATTCAAAAATACTTACCATTTATTAATTTTTCAAATTCTGGCATCCGAGTATAAACTAACTGAGCGAGAAATCCAAATAAGGCACAGTCAACTTCTGATGGTTCATTTCCCATAAAAAACTTTTTATTTCCTTAAATAAATAAATTATATTTCAATTAAACTTAGAAAATATCTATTAAAAGTCTGATTTTATTTTAGATCTGAAATATGATTGAATGTTCGTTCAAATTTATTTCAAAATACTTTTAATCTCAATTTCAATAAAAATAAATCATGAAAAAAAATCTATTAACAAGAAAATAAATCAAAAATTAATATAAGTAATTAGATCATTTCATTGATTATTTTATATTTAATTACTGAAATAATAAAATTATTAAATAATTCATGAAAACCAAAATTTAGTTAATAAATTTATGAATAATTTTTAAAGTAGTTTTAGTCATTATTTGCATATAATTACATGAAGCAATCTGAGATTACTTTTATAAATTTAAATATTTACATTCATTTTAGTTCTTGAAAGTGTAAACAATATTTTTTTTCCTTCTTATATTGTTTTATGCTGCTGTCTTTTACAGAACTTTAAGGAAATACTAGATTTTAAACATTAACTAGAAGTTTTATAAACACACTCCTAATCTTTCCTGATTAGAAAGAATTCAACCATTTACTAATATTTCTGTTTATTTTAACTATGAATAAAAATATATACAGTACAAAATTATGATTACCATAACATTATTATTATTATCAAATTTGATACTTTAGTTTAATGTTAATATTTTTTTAACTTCATAATTGGAGAGATCATAATTCAAAATCAAACATATCATTTCATTTTCTACAAAATTCAATTAAACATGATGTAGACTTTTAATAAAAATAAAACATATTGAAATCTTACAAATCACATTTAAAAATAATTCATAGAGTTGATTGTTTTCAGTTTTATATTCTGATATTATATTTCACTATACTTCTTAAAGATAAAAATATTTATATTTAATGAAAATTGTAACTTTGATTTAAAAGTGATAAAATTCTTTATTGCATTTTTAATACTTTATACTTGTTAAAATTCTTGAACTTTTATACTATTTCTTTACAACCTTCATTTTTCAAATTTTAATAAACATATATAGTATAAACTTAGTTTATGAGTGTACTCAAGAGTTTCTTGAAAATCTCTCATCAAAATCTCTTTATCAAACCTATTATCTTTGATTTTTTTTGTTTTCTGTAAATCAAATTCTCATTTCAGGTTGGTTCATTCCACACTAGAAGAAAAAATGATGATGATTCACACTCCTTAACAATGCACATTGTACAATTTTCTTTGAATAAATGTTATACATAAAATATTTGAGTATTTTTTTCAGAGTGGAACACATTATCATATTTTACATTAATTTCTATGTGATATTAATTCTACAGCAATTAGAGTCTATCATATTTATAAAATCTTACCTAAATAAACACTCAATGCTAAAATGTCATTTCTTGCCATATCCATAACTTCAGTTTCTGTATGTCGCCCAATACCATGATTCCAAGATTGTCGTTTTAAAATTCGTCGAATAATAGGAATAAGCAATAAACGAAGTGGAAATGACCACGTTGTAGCTTTTATCACATTGCAATCATCATCAAAAAACCATCGATAGAGAACAAGACACCTATTTACATAAATTAATATATATCTATTTATTGTATTTCAAAAAACTGGGTACTTAATTATATAACACTCACCAAATAAACCATAACCAGTTCATAACCAAACAGAAAAATTCTTTCTATGAATGTTTTCATCTATATTTAATAGACATCCTCAGGTATTGACAATATCGAACTAACGGCTAGTAACTAATGGCTTTTTTTCTGTTTGGTTATGAACTGGTGATGGTTTATTTGGTGAGTGTTATATATCTATTTATATTTTTTTGATACATACATTTACTCTAAAAATATACACACATTTATTTATTTATAAATTTTAAAT